ATATATATATAATTTAGTAGCGGAATTCTTTCGTAGCACTCGACTGCAAAATCCAAAAAAGTAGCGAAAAACAACTCTTCAGGGGTGAATTCTCCGTTTCTGGAACTACGCAATGCTCTGTGCACTTAAGCCGATGTCCGTGGTCACGTGGATCCCATCTCGGAAGGCGAGCAGCCTCAACGATACTCAAACTTTTCGTAACATTATTCCCTTCTGCCCTGTCAAATTCTGTACCATTCTAGGTTTCTACCACTCCGAATCAGGCATTTAACACAGCGCTCACCTCGGCTGACTATTACACGGCATGCGTGAAATATGGTCCAGTCATCTTAGCTTGCTATTCTGGATGCATTCTTTCACTGAAGTACCATCTGTTTCTTGGTCATTTCATTGCAAATTATCTGGTTCCAGCCGATCTTAGTTGTACTCTTGAAATATTCGTGGTCAAAGACCTGGAAATATCGCAGATCCTCCGGCCAAAGTTGCTTAGGCTCCCAGCTCTAAAACAATACAGCCCGTAATGTGACTTGATATGCGCGTCCTTTGAGATGCGTTTTTGACCCCACAGTTGGTGTAACCTGGTAGACGCAGTTCCGGCCTTCGGGACCCGTGCGTTCTCTTCGTCCGTCGCACTACCGTCATTAGTGACAAAACTAAACAAAAGTGGAGAGAGTAAACATCCTTGTCGGATACCACTGCTTGTATGAGAGCTTCCATGCAGTTCCTCATAAGCTCTCGCGCACTTATGCGTATTTGAATACATCCAGCCCATGAGATTTACGAATTAGCCAGCCAATTATGAAGCTGGCGAACTGGATAGATGCGGGCAAAATAAATATTGTGCCACCAAAAATTTAGCATTTGGTTCGGTTAGTCACAAACATTCGAAAAAACAGAATTTGGCCACTTGGCTTGTGTGAACAGTCGTTCATTCCCCTTTTTGCTAGCAAGCTCCTCTTGTTCGGTATGGCAGGACTTGAGGTAGTTTTGCTATGAATTTTGATTAGCGATCAAAATGTGAGGGAGTATTCTGCGTGTGATGCCTGTAGGATTCCAGTAGGACATAGAAAACCACTGAACTTCTCATCTTTGTAACTTTGGAGTGGAGATATTTTTCTAGTGTACTCATCGTTATCTTTCTCTCACCTATTCAATGTCTATATGTCCATTCTGCGCCATTCTGATGGAGACACGTATAACAATGATATTCTCCATATACGATGATTTTGTATGTGTAGCACGGCCGATCCACTGTAATTGACGACACTCATCTGACGCACTCATTTTTAATTGCTCCGTTAGGAATTCGTGGATGTCTTCGAATATCATCCGAGCTTCTTGCTTCTGTGGTATCGGGGATAAAAAAAACCTGAAGATCTATCAGGTCTAGTGCCAACATTAACCTAGTCTCAACATGTCCCCTACTGTAGCCTGGTAGATAATGTTCTTGGGACTCAGCTGGTATAAGTTTGGACGCTGACGCAAATTATCAAGCTGGCCCAAGTGTACCTGCGTGATTGGATGCAGTTGTCGGCATTTTCTTTCACGAAAACATCTCAACCATCTGTAGCCTAAATTCAGGGCTGGTCACACTTTACAAGCCACTTTAGGCTCAAAGAATGTCGGAAAATTTCAGTAAACGCAATCGCACGAATAAACGACTTCCCCTATCATCACCAGGAGACGCTTGAAATGACTAAGCCTAATCGTGTGTCTGTGGCATGCATCTGATAACACTGTTTTTGTAAAACATCCAGCTATCAGCGCGAAATTAGTGACTTGGTTGATGAAATCTACATACAGGTGTTTCAGGGAATACGGACCATGATTATCCTTAGCTCCTTTCACGGTCACGATTTCAAACGATACATTCATTCTCTGTTTACTCATGTGGTTGTTGCTCATAGACGGCAATGCTAATTTTCCAAAAGAAATTTAGGCTTATAAGGATGTTCGGTCTCAAACTTCATTTTTAACTTCACACTCACTTCTCTGTGCTGACTCAGCCCTCACATTCGATTGATTGAATGCTTGATTACTGATCGAGTGCTTTCCCTAAGCAGAAATGGGTTGTCGTGATCACAATAATTCTGCTGATGTCATCCTCCTAATATGTTGTTCTCACTGTGCGCCGTCTTGTTTTCAGGCCAGTTCAGCAGTTGGCCGTGATGTGGTGTCCAAGCGAGGCGTTCATTCAGCTCTGGCCGAAACAGGTCAACTTCTGGCCGCCTTGATTGTCGGTCCCGGACCAGCCAATAGAGCAAAACACTGCAGCAAAACCGCAGCTCGATTAGCTCTACGTCGTCTGTTGGGACTTGTGTATGCCTACATTCAGACTGTTGAAGGAAGTTTCTGAGTATATATATATATA